CAAAATACTTGTTGGTACTATCTCGGGTGCTAGTGACCTAATTGAAGGCTCCGGAAGAGCATGCATCATATTACCCTCGGGTACAAAATTAATTATAAATGATGCATTATACTCAAGTAAATCCAGACGAAATTTACTTAGCTTCAAAGATATAAGACAAAATGGTTACCACCTCAAAACCACATCAGAAAATAGTAGAGAATACCTACAGATTATTTCCAATGAGGACATTTTAGAAAAGCTAGAAGCTTTATCCTCTGGTTTATATTGCACTACTATTAATCCTATTGAGTCATATATGGTAAGTAACCAGAAGTTACTAGATAGAGATACTTTTACCATATGGCATGACCGACTAGATAGAGATACTTTTACCAGCATCTAATGCACCTGCTCGTATTGAAGTAATCCCAGAAGCGATTACCATACAAAGAAAGCGTGGGAGACCAATCGGTTCCAAAGATAAGAACCCACGAAAACGAAAGGAGCAAACTTGTGCAGTTGGTGAAACCACAGAGAAGATTATGAAAGATACCCCTGTAGAGGTAAATGTCCCAGAAGAGACTAATACATTTCCAGAGGAAAATGATATTCCTGAAGAAAGACCGGTACCAAATGAAAATGAGATCTCTATTAATTATGTACAAAATAGTACAATATGGAACCGACATGAAACACGTGTTGATGAAATTTTTGCATATGCTATAGCAATGGATGTACTAAATGAGAATGATTACATACCTAAAACTCTAGAAGAGTGCATGCACAGGAATGATTGGCCTAAATGGAAAGAGGCCGTGAACGCTGAACTTGATTCACTTCACAAACGAAATGTTTTCGGACCTGTAGTCCGAACACCCATAGACGTCAAACCAGTGGGTTATAAATGGGTGTTTGCAATAAAAAGAAATGAAAAGAATGAGATTATGCGATATAAGGCACGACTTGTAGCACAAGGGTTTTCCCAAATCCCANGCATACTTATATGGGACACTTGAGAATAACATCTACATGAAAATCCCTAAAGGATTCAAAATGCCAGAAGCATTAAAATCAGTACCTCGAGACATGTGTGCTATACAACTCAAAAGATCTTTATATGGTCTCAAGCAATCTGGTCGTATGTGGTACAATCGACTTAGCGAATATCTTGAAAAGCATGGCTTTAAATCTAATGTAATTAGTCCATGTGTTTTCATAAAAAGATCACTCTCTAAATTCACTGTTGTAGCAGTTTATGTTGATGATATAAACATCATTGGATCTCCTGAAGAGATAGAAAAAACTGCTGAGCTTTTAAAGAAGGAATTTGAGATGAAAGACCTTGGCACAACAAAATTATGTCTTGGTTTGCAATTCGGACATTTGCACAATGGCATATTCGTCCATCAGTCAAACTACATCCAGAAGATGTTAGTACGTTTTAATATGGACAAGGCACATCCGTTGAGCATACCCATGGTTGTCCGATCCTTAGATATACATAAAGATCCTTATCGCCCCCAAGAAGAGGGTGAAGAAGTACTTGGTCCAGAAGTACCATATCTAAGCGCGATCGGTGCACTCATGTATCTTGCGAATAATACAAGGCCTGATATTGCATTCTCAGTACATCTATTAGAAAGATTCAGTTCAAATCCAACACGTAGACATTGGAATGGGATAAAGCAAATATTTCGATATATTTGTGGGACACGAGACTTAGGTCTCTTCTACCAGAAAGATGAAAAGTCCCAACTTGTAGGGTATGCTGATGCTGGGTATCTATCAGATCCACACAATGCACATTCTCAAACAGGTTATGTGTTTACATACGGTGGTACAACAATTTCCTGGAAGTCAACAAAGCAAACTCTAACAGCAACATCATCAAATCAAGCTGAATTCCATCGTGAAATACTTCGACCAGCTCTCACGCAAACCAACTCTAGCTACTAACTAGTATATGTTCCTCGTACGCCAAACCTTCTTTAGTTCTTCTTAGGAACAATTATATATGAAGACAATGCAGCATGCATAGCTCAGATCAAGGAAGGTTATATCAAGGGAGACAGAACGAAACACATCTCACCAAAGTTTTTCTCAGCATCTGATCTGCAGAAAGAAGGAGAGATCAATGCTCTTCAAGTTAAATCAAGCAAAAATTTGGCATACTTATTCACCAAATCTCTACCAAGACACAGTTTCGAGCAACTCATAAAGAAGATTGGACTTCGCAGACTGAAAGAGATAAATTAGTTTGAGGGGGAGTTTAATTTTAGGGAAAATATTATACACGCTGTACTCTTTTTCCCTTAACTAAGTTTTGTCCCATTGGGTTTTCTTAGTAAGGTTTTTAATGAGGCAGCATAACTGATCCTGCAGTATCAGTTAATATAGGTCCTGAAGAACCTAGCCAACATTATCCAGTAGCATAATGTTGTTGGTGTATAATGCATGATGATATATCTGAGGGGGAGTGTTAAATATGGCAGATATATTTCTCATTCTATTTAGAATATATTGTTTCCTTATTGACCTAGACTATACCTCTTCCCGTGTATGTATAAATACCCCCGTATATGATGAATAAAGTATCGAGTTCACAACACCTGCTACATATTTTTCGGGAAATTTATTTATTTACTTGGTGTTTATTTTTCGTAGATGGCCAAATTTGTAGCCGTTGAAAAAGACCCCCCCCTTCTCCAATTTGATTACAAGTTGTATATCTCACTTTTTAATATTATTTTATTTAAAAATTGGTATATCGATAAGAGATAAAAATAACATATTAAAAAACTACGCCAAAAATTCTACAAAACAAGATGTAACAAGAATATTTTATTTTATCAAATACAAAATCAAATCGCGTGAACAAACAAAAGTTATCGAGAAGAGAGATAAAAAAAGTCGCAATCAAATTGGGGACAGAGGGAGTAGCACTTTTTTGTCTCTAGTTTTGTTGTAATTTAATATTTTGCAATTTCTAATGTAATATTTTGATTATTTATATCTTTATTTATATATTGATATATTTTGTATATTAAAAAGATATAATATTTTAAAATGTATGTATTGATATTAATTCATAGCACAATTCAATGTATTTTTGTCTAAAAGTACAAAAAATTACTTTGACGCCAGTTTTGTTGTAATGACTCTCAAATCCCTATATTTTTATAAAACCTACTAAGGCATTTAAGATTCACTGTAATTACTATGTGGGGGTCTTCCTACTGGAACTAGGTTAATATGAGTCGGAAAACAACCCTCACAAATGAAATGATAGTATAATTCCTATTATGCCCTTATAAACATGAATAAAGAAGCAAGAGTCTATGCAGACCTCTGATATTTGAAGTCTGACTCATGAACAGCGTAGCAATAAGATACTATGCAGGCCGTTCAATCTCACCCTTGCACAGCGCACCTCTTCACATCATCGATTAAATTTCTTCTTCACCTTAATGGTATGTTTGTTGATGCATTTACTTTTTGCGCTAATTATTCTTGAAGCTTAAACTAGGGATTTAGTGTTTGGAAACATATGTAGTAGCTCTCTTTTTCTAGAGTATTTTTTTTACTTTTTTTTATATTTAGTGATTTTTTTAAATATGATATATGTGGGTTCGAGCTGAGATTTTAGTGTATGTGAAGCACCAGAGTATTTTGGTAAAAAGCATTAATTTGGATATGTACTTCTTGAATGATCTTTATTGTGATGTGAAATCATTGTCTAAGAAACACGATGTTAGGGTTGCCAAAGTTTATTGGGTTTAAATGGCATTTTCTTGGGAAAGAGTTACAAAAAAAGTCACTTAGAATGGATAGAGATTGGAATGAACTGATGGGTCACTAGGGGGAACTTAAGAGAACCAAATTCATTCCCTTATATGTTGTTGAGTTAGAGAAGGCTAGTGAAATGCAAAAGATGGTTGAGAGTCTTGAGAACCTACAAGCTGAAAAGGATATAGTGGTTGATAATGTCTTTTCTAATCTTAAATTTCAATTTTCCAAGGAGTCAGCATTGAGTGAAGTGGAGCAACGGGCTCATTGGTCTGATTGCATGGTTGAAACCCCTTTTCAAATTTCTAAAACTCTTACAAAAGCAAGCACACCTTTGTTTCGGAAAAAACCTAAGTTAGCAATGAAAAGGCAAATGCATAGAGCATCAAAACTGCATTCTACCCTTGAACCATCACTACAAACCTCCTCTCCTAAGAAAAAAAGGAAAAGGTAAAGAGAAGAACAAGGGGAAGCACGAATATAAAAATACTCAATTGAACATATAGCTTTTAAGTAAGGAGTTGAAATGATTAGAAGCTTATGACATTCCTTCATTGAGCAACCCCCAAATACCCCTACTTGATATTTTTGTTGAAGAGAATGTAGTTCCCACTATTGTTAAAGGTGAAATAGGAGAACTTATAGAGCAAGAGATAACTTCATATGAAGATGGTGATGAAGACAGCTTATGTAGTGAGGAAGTTTCTATAGAGGAAGAATCTGACATTGAAGATGAGATAGATCTAAATGGTGACACAAGTAAGCTGATGTGTTTATGTCAAGAACTACTAGATTAGGATGGAACTGGTAGCCAGCTTCTTGTTAATAAAATGGTTAGGGTGTATAATAAAGGGAGGCTTTGGACTATAAGTAGAGACAAAATAGTGGACTTAAATGTGGGTGATATTTTTAGTTGCAATGAAGATTTCCCTAAGGTTATGATGGATTATACTATCTAAAGAGGCCTAACTTTGAGGAAAATAAAGAATGACAAGAGTAGATACACTCAAAGATGCAAGAATGAGAAGTGCAGCTTTAAAATACATGCCTCTGTGTTAATTGATAAAAAGTCTTGGATGATTAAGTCATTAAATGAAGGTCATGTGTGCTCAGTCAAAGAACATAACTCTAGAGCTGGTGTTGGTTGGGTTGCCACCCAACTCATAAAAGACTAGAAGACTAATGAGGACATGAAAGAAGGAACAACTAAAAAGATTATTCTTAAGAGGTATGGTTGTGTTATTCCAAAATACACATGTCAGAGGGAACTTAGATTGATGCGAGATATGTCCTTGGCAGGCATGAGGATGGTTACAACTTACTACCCCAGTATATGGAGGTATTCGAAGAGAGAAACCCTGGTTCTCTTTGTTGGATCAAGTGGCATACAAATGGTCCAACCAAAAACCCAACATTTATAAGAAGTCTAATTTGTATTGGATCAGCCATTGAAGCTTGCATAAAATTTTGTAGACCTCTTATCGGGATTGATGCTTACTTCTTGAAGGGTCCATACCAAGGGGTACTCTTAACTGCAACATTTCTCTAAATTGAACCAGGAGAAGTCTTTGCATTATCACATGACAATCATGAGTTTTCATGTGTTGCATTCTGAACGTACAAATATCAACACAATTTCCTACATTCAATGTGTAGCCATCTAAAAATTTTAGCACAACAAGCCACTCTATGAGTTTTCTTTTATGATCACTGCTAACTTGATAGATTGCTTTGATTAACGGACCATCACTGTCGGGTTCATTTGTGTTTTTAGATATATCACAATGTAACCACACATCTTTTCAAGCGGCAAGACTGTCTTTTGATTTGTTTGGAAAATTTAGAATTATGTTGAAAATATTGGCAAAGACATTTTTCTCAACATGCATAACATTTAAATTTTGCCACAGAAGTAAGTCTTTCTAGTAAGATAAGTCCCAAAAGATACTCCTTTATGTCCATTTATGCTCTATGTCATAGCCAATGAGGTTGTTAAATGGATCCTCTACCGTAAAAGAAAAATGTTCTACACAATATAAAATTTACAACCCATTAAGGACGGGTGGTGGTGGATCACCCTCAATTTTTCCCTTAAGAAATGATTTCTTGTCTCTTCGATAAGGATGATTATGTGGGATAAATCGTTTGTGACAATCAAAATAAGTAGGCTTCTTACAGTGTTTAAGATAAAGTACTTCTCACCATTTTAGGCAGATAGGACAACCTTTTACTCCAACGGTACTCCACCCCAAAAGCATACCGCATGCAGGGAAATTACTTATCGTCCAAATCAAAGCAACCCTCATTTGGTATTTGGTCCCTAGATACATCTTACATTGGAACCCCAACTTCCCACGTATGCTTCAACTTATCGATCACAGGTTGCATATATGCATCGAGTCGTTTCTTAGGAATTTTTGGGCCAGGACATATTAAGGTTAAAAATAGGAACTCACTACACTTACACTGGTCTGAGATAGACTATATGGTGTGATCATAACTGGCCAACACGAGTACTACGTCCCAAATTTTCCATGGGGAACAAATTCATATGTGCATAATCTTAGACGTATGTTGCATGGCTCACAGTAAAAATGAGGGTAATACTGATCTAAGTGTTTCCATGCCTCAGAGTCTGATGGGTGACACATTAAACCAATTTCTGTTTCGTGTTCGACATGCCAAGACATATGTTTAGCAGAGACGCATAGAATCGTTGTAACCATAGAGTTAGTGGAAGATGCATTAGCTCTCACCATGTGTATATCTTACCTCGCCTTTCACTCATCAATTTATACCTTTCCAGCCTACACAATTTACATGTGTGCAAAGATTTATCATTGTTGATTAATTTCTATGTCTTAATGTTCGAATGAATTCCGAAACATAAAAGAATGAAGTCTAAAGCTGCGGATTGGACGAGAATTACGGTTAGTGGGTAAAAATAAAACATTTTTTTAAAAATACTTCGGATATCCAAATATCCAAAAAAAATCTAAAATTTAAATCCGTACTCGATCCAAATTTTTTTGGATACCCGATCTGAATATCCGAAAATGAAAAATATCGGATCGATCGGATACCCATTTCTGGATTGGATCATAGCAGATTATGGACAGATTTTTCAGGTTGGATAATGTGGAACACCCCTAGTAGTGTATATGAATGAATGAAGTATAAATAATGTGACATAATAATTGAACTCACAACGGATCACACCGAATACAAGCTACATTGTTGTACATGGGGCAACGCATTTTCAGGGCATAACATTTATTTTTATTGTTTTTAATCGAAACATTTAAACAAGTCAGGCGTAGATCTTTCGGGATCGATTTGCAGAGAGAATTGTGAGGCATAGGTAGAAGATGACTGCAAGGTAAGAGAGTACCAAACTAAGGGTTAGTTTGTGGCAAAACTTGGTAACGTTGTCACATATGGCCATCCAACCAGAGTGTGATTCTCCGTATTTCCCAACGTATCCTATTGCCGATGCTGCTGCACACCCCGAAAGAAGCAACGCCATCACAATCTGCATGTAATACATATAAGAAGGGGGAGCAATTACTGAACTGATACAGAAAACTTTAAAAAAACCCAATCGAAAAATACCGAACCAAATAACTACTGCTAAAATACCGAACCGTACTGAATTGAATGTTCGGTTCGGTATTTTGGAACGGTACCAGGAAATTTCTTATACCGAAAAATATTGAAGTGAATGTATATACCAATGTATTATAAGCATAATATTCTTTTATATTATATTTTTTCATTAAGTAATAAGTTTATATATTAAATTTGGTTCCATTTTTTTACGCGTACATTGTACTTTTATTTGGGTTTCAATTTTTTGTAAATGAATTTAAAAATATTAACACACATTTGAAATGTTATTTTGTTATCATTCGTTCACTTTAGTGTGTGAAATATAAATTAAGTTTCATGAGAATTTCTTGCATTTAATTTTTTATTTTTTAGTTTTTTATGTTTCTTTATTTAAATATACTTTCGCTTTTTCAAAAGTATATATGGTTTAGTCACATTTTAATGTTTAAATTCGGTGCTTTTATATTTTATCCTCATCTATACCGAACCTGATATGGAATTATCTCGAACCATACCAAATAAGAATTTCGAGATCGGTGACGTAAAATTTCATATCGAACTGAAATATTTCATACGATATCGATACGAGTAAAATATGTACCATGCTCACCCTAAATATAAGTGCACTTTACATTTACTCACAACATATTTAAAAGAACAGTTTGGACAATAATTATCATCCAAAAACACTTTTAGGACAATGTCTAAACTTTGGGTATATTATCAATCAATAGAATCAAAATTGGTACATTAATTTTGCGTCTTGTGACTTATGAAGTTTTTAACTCCCTCCACCTCGAAAAGATCTGGATATGTAGAAAAAATAATTCATTATGTTTTGATATAAATGTAGTAATAATTGTTCTCTTTTGAAAAGTAGTTTTAAAATATTATGTTTTCACAAAGGGTTAAGATAGCCACACCCGTTAAAACAAATATATCCGTCAACTAAATACACTATTGATGCTTTATTATGTTATTATTCAAAAACTTATATAAATTTTATTAAGTTAAAAAACATAATATAAATAATGTTTCAAACTCCATCATTTATTTGATTTTATTGCTTTTCAAAAAAAACATAAGTTTTAATTTTAAAGCTTTGATTCATTGTGTTTTCAAAAGTAGAGAAAGTATGCTTCGACATATACTGCTACCTTGACCTAGTTAGCACTTGGATAAATGGATCTAACATCTCAATCTCTTATAACTAGTCCACACAACGGGAGGTGGCATCTCAATCTCCTATGGTCAATTCAACTAAAACCACGGACGGGTAGTGATGGACAATAAATCCACCAAATGATCCGATTCAGAAGAACGGATCGTAAGAACAGAATTAAGAATAAGAATTCGAGAATTGGGTGTGTATTATTAGCTTAATTTAGCTTGAGTCTTTCCCCTTGTGGGTCCTCTCTATTTATACATGGCCATTAGACAGCTAAGGTAATACATAATCAAGGAAGTCTCTCCCGTTAAAGGCGCGATCCCTTTTTTCCGGCTTCATCTCCGCCATTCAGTTCCGTCTCCTTCTCTGGATTGACTCTGCCAGCTGTTTTTGGGCTGAAGTTGACCGGGCTCAGCCTCATGGGCCGGCCCAAGCCTAAGTATTCCCTAAACGCTTGACCCGTAATCCATTAAATGGTTCAACTGGGCCGCCTGTTGGGTATCGGCCCATCAGGTAGCTTATTTTTTTCTAAACCCACGTCCAACAACCAAGAAAAATCAACCCCGGCCCGATCTATCAGACACGATACCATGTTTGAATTTCGGTGGACCAAGAACAACGGGTAGAGTATCGGATAAAATAAATCACTTGAATATAAAATCAAGATCCTCTTTCTAACACAAAAGCTTAAGCTGGTTAGGGTTTCATACTTCTATATATACTAGTGGTATTCTTCTTTCTATACTATACACTGCAATAGTTTCTACAATACCCCAGTGCCTAAAGGTATAACTTAATTCTATTTGGATTATTTTTCTGGAAAACATAAACATCAAGAACCAAACTTGACCAATCACTTGTAAAGTTGATTTCAAATGTCGATTACGAAACACACTTTTCTAAATCAAATCAATACGCAAAAAAAGGTAACCAAAATGAGAAAGCGTGATTCCACATGAGAAAAGCCTCGTTAAGTAATGTTGTTTTAAAAATTAATAAAGTGCATATAATTTTATGGCAATAAAATCCTAACATAATTATGTATCACGGAATGTATTTATTTATTTAATTTTGAGTTTGACTAAACAATATCCCATTAACATTTATCAAAGTTTTGGTAAAAGCTGCTGATAGCCTGATACCGTGCGTGCCATACCACTATTTTGGTACACATCCACTTTGTATTTGTCGGTATGAACTATGAACTATACAATTCCCACTACTCATCACACGGCTTATTGCCTCGCCGCCATCTCCTCCCTATAAAAACGTTATGCGAAGAAAAACATACGACGCTTTGTCCATTTATTCCAAAAGTCAATAATCCGACCAGTTTTTGCAAAGAAATATAGGACGCTTTACAGTACTTGTTATTCAAATGGTTGAGATAATGAGATTTATCATTTTTGTTTGTTTATTTTTGATACAAAATTGATCACTATTAGAATATAAATAACTGTTCCTGGGCCATAACCACAAGCTCGAGCTTTGGGTTGAGTTGTGTTGGGACTGCGCGTGCCCTCACCCCAACCCCGCATTAGTATGATATTGTCCGCTCTGAGTCAAGCCCTCACGGATTTGTTTTTAGGCACCTCCTAAAAGGCCTCATACTAATGGGGTTGGATGAACCTATATATTTTGATTCATTTACTCCTACTCATCCGGTGTGGGACTTGGAAGAATCCCAACAAACCTCCCCTCATCCAAGGACCACACAACTTCCGACCTCCCCTCTAGCGGTAATCCCTTTTTTTCTCTTTATCTGCTAACCATCTTGCACCGCCGCTCACTCTTTGCGGGACACGCTGCCCGACCTCCTGTCGGGAAGACTTTCAACGCAAGGCTCGAACCGCAGATCTTTCCTTCGCTGGGCTACACCATTTGATCCGCCAAATCATCTTGTACCGCCGTGGCTATAACTTCACGGGACGCGCCGCCCGACCTCCTCTTGTCGGGAAGACTTTCGACACAAGGCACCACCTGCAGATCCTCTTTCTTGGTTTTGGTCCTAGTTACACCGTCACACCGAGATTTTTCCACACTACACAGTCTGCTACTCCCGCCCGCAAGAACCTGGGCTCCGATACCACATGTTGGGACTGCGTGTGCCCTCACCCCAACCCCGCATTGGTATGATATTGTCCGCTCTGAGTCAAGCCCTCACGGATTTGTTTTTGGGCACCTCCCAAAAGGCCTCATACTAATGGGGTTGGGTGAACCTATATATTTTGGTTCATTTACTCCTACTCATCCGGTGTGGGATTTGGAGGAATCCCAACAAGTTGGTTCCTTGACATGGTATCACAGCCTCGTTGACTAAGAGGTCACGGGTTCGAAACTCAGCGCCACCCAGTTTAAAAAAAATTTAAGGTTTCACGTGCAAGGCTCGAAAAAAAACTACGCCTGCACGTGAGGGGCGTGTTAGAATATAAATAACTGTTTCTGGGCCACAACCACAAGCTTGAGCTTTTGGTTGAATTGGTTCCTTGACAATCACAATATGTAATGATGTCACATCTTCTCATTATTTAATTCTATATTTAACGTGAAAATAAGGTAGTCTCTCCAGGGCCAGCTCGGGGGTGGGCCGAGCAGCTCAATCAGATCGAGAACATTTATTCAAGGGGTCCAATGTTTTTATATTCTATAAACAAATCTTGTTTTCACTATTCTAAAAAGTGAAATGCTATAGGTGGAGATTGAACTCATCCTCTTGAACTATTAGCCTTATTGTTTCCAAATTCGGACATAGCATTATACACCCTTACATCCCTAAATCATTTATCCTTTATGTAAAACGAAGTAAAATTCCAATTTTCTCAATTCATTTTATTTAAATATTGTATTTAAATAAAAAATAAAACTTACATATTTAAAAAGTACATTAAAAGTTCTACAGAACAAGAGTTGACAAAAATATTTTAGTTTTTCAAATAATTAATGTACAAATAAAAAAAGTTTCAGTAATTTTTGAATTGTAAAATGTGTAAATCATTTAGAAAAGGAGGGAGTATATTTAGTATTGATCTCAATAAAACTCCTAATTTTTTAGAAAAAAACACAATAATATATTTCCTCCCTCCCTGAAAACTTTTCTCCTTTCTTTTTTCATCCGTCCCAAAAAACATTTCTTATTTCTATTAAAAAATCACTTTTACCCCTTATTTTTTCATACCCTACCTATCACATCATACTTTTTCTCTAATAATCTACCCATCAAATCATACTTTTACTCATCACATCAAAAGATTTTTTTTGGAATTCAATCCTAAAATACACTTATCTTAAATCTCTTAAAAATCAATAACTCCCATGTTTTTAGGACCGGATGGAGTAGTATACTTGTTTTATGAACTTTCAAAAAGAGTTCAAAAAATAAATAAATAAATAAATAAATAAAAACTACTCCGTATTATTTTTATTTAAAATAAATATGAATACTTACACCAAAAAATTATTATCATCAATAAAAATAAAAATATATTTTTTAATTATAATGTATTAATGTATTAATGTCTTGTGCTCGGCCATAGAATTTTTGGGACCGGTATTGGCTAAACCCAATACAAATTTGACTTGTTACTAGAGAATTATCCTGACTCCACAAAATCAGTGGAGACGAGTTCGACTAACTACATGGGAAAGATCAAAGAACCCATGTAAGCATATCCATTATATGCTTATTAGCTGCTGGGCTGAAGGGATCCGATCCTTAGGGTTTGGCCACTTAGCTTATTAACTACGTACGTACGTGTTAGTTTAACCTTTCAATAAGAGTCCTTATTATAAAATGGGTACCTTTTCAAAAAAAAAATGGGTACCATAATTTATTGTGACTAACTTATTAGTTATTCATTCGAAATTAATTAAAACATAATGAAACATAATCATATGCATAAATATATACGAAGTTGATAATAAGAAGAGTATACTGTACGATCGGTCGTATAGTACATGAATAGTCATTTTCGAGTATCGGTATACTCATTGTCTAAAATTCAGTTATATTCATAAATAAATATGAATATTCAGTTACTCGAAAAATAAACACTCTATTACTTAAAAAATAAGTATCAATTATTCGAAAATGAGTATTCCAACAGATATACGCAAAACATCATACATATATGGTGCACGCACTCAGCAGAGAGAGGTGGTAGCATACGTACCAAATCAAGCACAAAGATGCAGAAATAGTTGCTTCTGTTATCAGCCATCTTGTCGAGGACGAAAGCCACAAATACAGACAGAAAAGAGATTCCACAGCCCACGATATTCGCGATCAAGAAGAACCTGTTTTATTTGTTTTTTAATCGTGAACAATTGGAGTTTAATTAATTAAATAACTTTAGATACGGAGTAGAGAAAAAAATAAATAAGTAAGTTACTTCAAGATTGGCGAATAACTGTAACGCGCTTCGAATTGGATCCCGTAAACGGTGGCCGTTTGGTTGCTGGTGAGAACAGCCCAGGTGGCGGCCAACGTAACTGCGGTGGCCGCCAGGCGCAACACCACTTGGGCGGCGGAGAAGAGCCTCAAGCCCTTTACAGGCGCCGACTGGCGGCGGTCACCTTTGGTTCCCATGTTCATCTCCATTCTTCTTGAATTTTATTTGGGAGAAGAAGAAGATGAAGAAGAATAGGAAATGGCACCTCTATGTACAGGAGACAGGAGTTGAGTATTGAAATTGTAGGAGGATGGACTTGAATTGTGACTTATTTATACAACTATTATTACTGGTTGGAAGTTAAAAATAAAATAAAATTAACTCCAAGGTGAATACTCAAAGCAAATTTATTTGACTTGTTTGTAATCTTCCTTGTGAATTGCTCCCAAAAACAATAATGTTACGTTTGTGTAGGCACTTTGTGCCGGTACTTATTTGTTTATCGTTGATAAGCATTTTTTAATTTATAAGTTACTTATAAGTTTTTTTTTTTAAAATAAAATGATAAATAAGTCATTTAGAAATATTCATAAATGGTGAAAACAGTTTTGTAAATAATCTGATCAAAATGAATAAACAAAAAAACTACATTAAAAATACGTAGTTAAAACTTACTTATTTTTTCTGACTTATAGTCACACGTAAACATAGCGGGTGTTTCTCTATGTTGGTGTTTATTGAATTATTTTTTATAAATAATTTGTAACTTATAAGTTGTTTATAAGTTGAAAAGTCTTACATGTAGAAAAAAACTTACATGATGTTTAAGTCGTTTAGGTATATTCATAATAGATGAGGGATACTACTGGAAATTTTGTTAGTAATTTGGTCAAAATAGAGAAACGAAAAAACAGAATTAAAAATAAGTAGGTAAAACTGATTTATTTTTTCTGACTTATAAGCAGCTCATAACCATAGAAAAAACACATCATCTGCTGGCTTATAAGTTAAAAACAACTTATAAACAGTTTTGATCAGCTTCTAAACACAGAGAAACACCCACATATTATCAGTTGACTTATTATTTGAAAATTGCTTATATATAGTTTTGATCACCTATAAGTCACATGCTAACTTCATCTCATAAAAAAATAGAAATCACCCTAAATAGGAGTAAAACATAAAGAAAAATATCAAAATAGAACTTTCATGTTTTTTTTCCTGAAATAAGACTTTGCACTGTGGTAATGTGACTTTGCTCTGTTATAATGTGGCAGTGTACATGTGCAAATTACTATACTTTTTTGGTAATGTATATAACCATGTATGATAATGTAAGTTCTATTTCGTAAATAAAAACATGAAAGTCCTATGGGAGAAAGACCAAACTAGGATTAAAAAATTGAAAATATACCAAAATAGGACTTCCATGTTTTTATTCCCGAAATATGACTTACATTACCAAACATGGTCATATACATTACCAAAAAAGTATAGTAAAATGCACATGTACACTGCCACATTACCACAATGCAAAGTCACATTACCACAGTGCAAAGTCCTATTCCGGGAAAAAAAACATGAAAGTCCTATTTTGGTACTTTTCTCTATGTTTTAGTCCTATTTAGGATGATTTCTAAAGTCCTATTTTAGTATATTTTTAATGTTTTAGTCCTACTTTGGTTTTTCCCCCAAAAAAATTCTTTGTTTTCTTCATCCCAAAAAAGATTTCATTTTCAAATTTTAGAAAGAAAAAAAGATTATGATCCTGATAATTTCTTTTTCCTTTGCACGTCTGTTGGTATACACTTCCTACACACACACAACATTTGAGTCAAATTCTTTGAAACAATGTAATGACTTTTTGGAATGGGATATAGCTGGATTCCTTTTTGTATCTTCAATTTCTCAAGAGTTTAATTGCCCAATATTGACAAATTAAGCACGCACCTCACCCGGTAGGATCTTTAGTATCCTTTGGCTATGATTGGGAAGACATTCTAATACTCCGTAATATTCTATGTTCAATGTCTTACATTCTAATTATATTCTATGTTCAATTTCTTATAAGTTTAATTACGGAGTATTGACAATTAACACATCAGCTCATAGGCTCATACGCTATTCTTTTGCTATGATTGGCAAGTGATAAAATTTGATAAAATATACTCCCTCCGTTCTCAAAAATACTTTCTCTTTCATTTTTTTCACTTCCAACAAAACACTTCCCCGTTCTATTAAAAAACCACTTTTACCCCTACTTTTTCATACCCTACCTATCACATCATACTTTTTCTCTGATAATCAATTCATCACATCTTACTTTTATCCATCACATCAAAGGCAAAATTAGAAGTCAACTATAATTTTACACTTCCTTAATTTGCCTTATTTTCAAAGTGAGAAGAGTTTTCCCAAACGAAGGGAGTAAATCTCAGTAAAAACTAAACTCCCAAATTGAAGAATATATATATAAGACTTACATTACCACTACAAAAAATCGTGCATTGGTGAAGGACGTTTATGAAAGATTTTACAGTCATTGCCATTTGTGACGACATAGTGGCGAATTTGCGACGGAAAAAGGCTCACAAAGTTACCATCGTGGAATGCCCACTTTGTGACGGATGGACCCGTAACAAAATCCATCCCAAGGACGACGGAGTGTGTTCCGTTATGCAAGTTGTAATAGTTACTATTTGTCACCTTACTCGTCATCACAAAAGCCTTCACAAAATCGTAACTTGTGTATGACGTCTTAAAGGTCGTCACAAGTGCCTTCACAATATCAGTTTTTCGAATTTGTGACGGGTCATACTACAAACAATGGTTCGATATATATATATATTTATATATGTATATGAACTCCATTGGGATCATTTTTAGAATCAAAAAGCAGACAAAATCTTTTTTAATTCTGATTGCAATGTATTCCTTTGGTAGCACTATCATTGTTAAGGTACGTTACATAGTTTTATACAAATGAATATTCAATAACAAATTTATATATACTCCGCCTATTGATTTCTTTGAAGCTTTTCATTTGACTCTTTACAGTTTCAAATCAATATTTTGATCATCAATATCTTTATTTATATAATGATATATAGTATAAAAATACGATATTTCAAAAGTATGATTCAAATTAAAATGAAATTTTTGATATTAAAATTATATCACAATTCAACGTATTTTTTTTTGCAATTTGTAATCAAAATTTAAAAAATTTACTATGAGAATTGAAAAGGGAAATTTAAAAGCGGGGGATAAAGTATCATTTAAGTACTATTACAATTATATAATATGGATCTTGAAATAAATTTAGCTATTTTCAAAAGAAATTAAATTTTCCAAAATTTAAATAAACCTTTATATAGATTTAATTTCATAAACATTTTATTTTCAAAAATAAATGCTAAGTATATCTCCGTTTTACTATTGTGAAACATTGAGCATAATTAATATACGCTCTGGAAAATCGCAATTTGTGGCAGTGCTATATCTCACAAATCCTTCACAATATGTTTCATCCCAAGAACCATGTGATCTGTGCAGATTTTGCAGGATCTGGTGTTTTAATCCTTCACAAAAATCGTCACAAATTTTAAAACAACAAAGGATTTGCAATTTATGATTTGTGTTTTTAATAATACAAATATAATATTAATTAACTATAGTTATGATCGATTTTTCAGGTATCGAGAAATTCGATGTATAAAAAAGATGCTCCGAGTGGACGAGGATTATCCAAAGAATTCCTTCCAGACGTTGACGAATTTGTTAAATTTGCATGTGCTCAAACCCAATACTTAGATGGGGAGAAGATTTGATGTCCTTGTAAGAAATGTACGTAAAAACAGCAAGTTTACTACTGCAGATAACATTTGGTGGCATCTTTATAGAAAAGGTTTTATTGAAAATTATTACAACTGGTATTGTCAAGGAGAAGCGTTTGAAACTTCATACATACCACAAACACTTGGAACGTCTTGCGATGTTCCAGGGTCTGTTGCTGCATGGGGTGATTATGTTGACATGTCTTGGGATCAACAATTCGTATATGATGCTCTTACAGCACCGACCGCATTTCCTTTGATGCATAATCATCAAACTGTAAATGATGCTCCGAGCTCATCAGCTCATCCGCATGATGTGATCAACATGTTAACAGAACGATTTCAAGACGTCTTAAAGGCAGCTGATGAACCGTTGTATGAGAATTGCGATTGGAAGTATTCATTAGCTGTTGTGTCAGAATTACTCAGTATAAAGTCGGACTGGAATCTTCCCGAAGCTTGTGTAGCAAAATGGTTGCAAACTATAGGGGGCTAGTTGCCACGGGATCATAATCTACCCACGGACTTTTATGGTGTAAAGAAGATGATTTCGGAATTAGGCCTCCTAGCAATAAAAATGGATTGTTGTCCTTTAGGGTGTATGTTGTTTTGGAAAAGTGACGAGTTTCTGGATAGATGCAAGTTTTGTGGCTCTGATAGGTACAAGCCGCAAAGTGAACAAAGAGGAAAATCACGCAAAAGGCGTCCTATTTCCAAGTTGCATTATCTTCCTCTCGCTCCACGATTGCAACAGCTATATGCGTCTTGTATGACTGCCAAACACATGACATGGCATGTTGAACATGAAACCGAAAGTAATTTGATGTCCCATCCATCAGACTCCGAGCATTGGAGATGTTTTGATCGATGTCATCATCACTTTGCATGCGAGCCAAGAAATGTTCGTCTTGGATTATGCATAGACGGCTTTGCACCACATGGACAGTTTGGCGCACAATATTCATGTTGGCCAGTTATGATCCCAACATATAATCTGCCCCCGGATATGTGTATGCGGAGTGAGTTCATGTTCTTAATGTTGATATGTCCAGGACCCAATAACCCAAAAAAAGGCTTGATGTATTCATGCAACCTGTGGTCGAGGAATTGCAACATATGTGGGAATAGGGATGACAATTCAACCCAAACCCGAGCTTAATCGACCCGACCGACTACTAAAATATCCGAACCCGAACCAAAAATAAAATAATCCGAACCCGACCCGAAATTTTTTACCCGAACCCGACATCGGGTCGGGTGTGGATTTATAATTTTCTTGACCCGACCCGAACCCGAACCCGACCCGACTAAAACCCGAATATTTTATTACATAAAAGTATATTTATGGATATAATGAGCACTCCATATAATCTCTTGACAAAGTGCTAATATATCAAGTACGGCTTTTATAATTATTTTTATAATCCCTTAATAAAAAATGAGACATAAAAAAAGAGACATAAAAAAATTAGATTTAATCTTTTCAAAATTATTGGGGTACGTCGAATTGGTTATTGGTTTAAAGTCGGGTTCGGGTCGGGTCGGGTTTTTGGCTTAAAATGTCGGGTTTGGGTTTCGATTTTAAAAGTCGGGTCGGGTTCGGGTATAGTATTATCCGACCCGTTGCCATCCCTATGTGGGAACTTGGGGTCCCAACGTACGACGTCTCCAGAGATCAAGTATTTAGCATGAAGGCCGCCGTGATTTGGACGATTAGTGATTTTCCTGCCTACGGTATGCTATCTGGGTGGAATACTGCAGGGTTAAAAGGTTGTCCGATTTGTATGGAGTGGTCAAAGGCGTTTTATCTTAAACATAGTCGGAAACCTTCTTACTTTGATTGTCACCGACGGTTTCTGCCGCACAATCATCCTTATCAAAGAGAAAAGAAAATATTTCGTAAGGGCATAGTTGAGCACGATTAACCACCGCCTACTTTTACAGGATCACAAATTTTTTATCGTGTTCAAGGTTTTGCTTCTGCTATAGATGACCCAAATAACGATCCGATTGGATATGGCACAGATCATAAATGGACAAAGAAGAGTATATTTTGGGACCTTCCATACTGGAAAGACTTAGTACTCCGACATAATCTGGATGTGATGCACATTGAGAAAAAGATTTTTGATAACATTTTCAACGCGGTTATGAACTTGCTGAATAAAACGAAAGATGGCGTCCTGACAAGATTTGTGGTTGCAATGTGATAGACCTGAAATTGCAATTTCTCCCAATCAAGGTGGTCTAGTAATTAAAGGAATATATCAAGTTTTATTACCACTGATCAGAAGAGGAGAACATTAGAGTCGCTAACTTCGTTGCAGTTCCTAGATGGGTACTTGTGGAATTTGGGAAAATGTGTGGACATGAGTAGTCTTAGGATGCGATATCTATGTTATGAATTCCAACAAAATTAACAAAAAAATGCTGAAATTCATATGCATAAAATTCTTGCACTCATTATCATGAATACATGTAAACTAAATACACTTGTAAAATGAATTACCAAATATAAAATGTTTTACACACGCAACCTACATCTACACCAAAGTCAAGTGCATCAAATAATTACTCCCTCCCTCCACCTAAGTTCTTACTGTTACGCGTTACGAGGCTTGACCAACTTTATTTTCAATTCAATTTAATTGATTATAGGAGTAAAATTTTAAAATAAAATTTATATAGTAATAAACTACATGAAAAGTTCAACAAAACTAGAGGTGACAAAACTATATTATTTTACAAAATGACTAGGAAAAATGAGCAAACAAAGTGAGTAAAGTTTGACCCGTGAATAGTGTCTGGGAAGATCTATGGTGGACAGAGGGAGTATAATAAATGCACGAAATACTATGCTGTCATATTCAACTACATATTAACTAATTAAGAAAACTGAAGATACATTATGCTATATTGATGAATAAAGATGCACTCTCAGCTGAATATGATGTATCATGACACTGTTCTTTAATCATGAAACTCAGAACAATTCATGATGCACAACATTGCATAATACAAAAATAACCAACACATCTAAAAATAGTTCCCGATGCACAATTACAAACAGTTCCTGATAAACATTATACTTGTTGAAGATTCCTTTAAACAGAACAATATGGAATATAACCTTTGTATAATGCTGAGATATACAATGGCGGCAAGCGTTCGGAACAAAAAATTAACCAGATTCGAAGTGCAATGTAATACCATATAAATGATCGCCAACACAGTTATCTTAATCCACAACATTTTTTCACACTCAACAGCACATGAACACAATCACCAGTATAATGGTCCAACCTCTAACAACCCAGACCAAGAAAATATTTTACCAAAACAAATCATGAACCCAAAATGAGACATGATCAACCAAAGTAAATTGCATCAAATAAATACATGTACACTTAATACACTTGTAAAATGTATTAAGAAATAAAAAATGATTTACAATCAGAACATACATCTACACCAAAGTCAAGCGGATCAAGTAATTATAATATATGCACTAAATACAATGATGTCATATTCCATTGCACATTAACTAATCAAGAAAAAATGAAGTTACATTATGCAATATTTAAGTCTAAACATGCTCACTAGTGCATCATACAAATATAACCAACACATCAATAAACACTTCCCGATGCACAATTACAAAAGTCCCTGATGTACATAATACTCCCTCCGTCCCAAAAAGAATGAGACGGTTTGACTTTTTGGGAAATTAAGGGAGGGATATTTTGGTATTGATTTTCCAAAAATACCCTTGATGTGATGAGTAAAAGTAGGATGTGATGGGTAGATTATTAGAAAAAAAGGTATGATGTGATAGGTAGGGTATGAAAAAGTAAGGGGTAAAAGTGGTTTTTAATAGAAATGTAACGGACTTTACGGGACGTAGGTTTTTCTAAACGTAACAAACTTTTTGGGACGGAGGGAGTACATGTTGAAAATGGCTTTAAACACAACAAATATGCAATATAAACTTTGTATAGTGCTGATATATACAATGACCATCACTCATAACCAAAATTTAATCAAATTCTAAGTGCACTATGATACCATAAAAAATGAACACCAACACATGTATGTACATCCACATCATTTTTACACCACCAGAGCATATGAACACAATCATCAGTAGAATGGTCCAACCTATAACCACTCACACCAAAAAAAATATTCTGCCAAATGAAATCACAAATCCAAAACGACATATACTCATCCAAATACCACTACAATATTACACTTTTTAGTTTAAATGAATCATCTTAACCCTAGAAATTTTTACTCCCTCCGTCTCCAAATAAGCTTCCTCTTTCGTTTTTTCTTTGTCTCCAAATAAGCTTCTCTTTTCCCTTAAAAAACCCCTTTTACCTATTATTTTTTCATACCCTATCTATCACATCATACCTTTTTACTAATAATCTACATATTACATTTTACTTTTACACATCACATCAAGGGTATTTTAGGGACGGAAGGAGTATATCAAAACCAATCATTAATCCCACATAGAAAACCTACTACAAATGCATTCATATGCAACTTCCTATGGTACTATGATCCAACATATTCTTTTGAAACAATCCAATCAATTATACCACAAAAACTCATTAAAAGGAATGTTTAAGATGCATTATTATTGACATGCAAAAACACTCAAAGCCCAAATCAAAAATCAAAGACACCGCTCTAAAGTAAGAAAAATATATCTTCCTTTGCTACCAGTGAATTCTCCATATTCTTCATGTCACAGAAGTCAAGATCTTTCAACAACCTTTGTGAAAAGCTCTCGTTCGTCTTGTCGTGTGCACTGTGCGGCTATCTCCCTTACCAATTTCACTCTGAACAGAGTTCTCAAAGAATGCAGCGCCGGTGGAGGTTTATCGAAGTATGAAGAAGACTTCTATTCAAGGCAATGCATAAGTGGTGGGATATTAAAGATCTGCATCTTTTACGCCTTTTGAGGTACCTCTCCAATTCCAAAATTGTCCTTACACGTGAGAATGATCCTTACTGCGAGAATAAACCTTATCGTGAGAATGATGCAATTTTATGTCGTCACGATGCACATTGTGGTAGTGCATTTGCGGCATTCGGAGTAAAGTTCAATTTAATTACCATAATGCCACCGCGCTTTTTCAATTTTTTTCATATATATATATATATTTAAAACGGAATAGTTTTTTAGATTGGGTTTATTTGGTTTGAAGTGAAAATTATAATCGAAATCAAAGAATAAAGATTCAGTTTACATTTTTTTCAGTTGATTTTTATTTTTTCTGTCGAGTTTTTTTAACCCACCCTAATTTTGACTCCCTTTTTACTTTTGGTCGACGTGGTAAGACTTGATGGAGACAAAATGAGACACATTATTGGAGTATCACTTTTTTTTCCGTTTGATTTCTTTTTCAATCAAATAGCTGGGCTTCCCGAAGGATAAAGTTATTTCTATTCTAAGAGCTTCTGCGTCATTTGTATATTTCACCAAGATTTGGTGTTAGTGTAATGCTAATATTTGTTAATGCACCCACGCTTTGTGTCGGTATAAATTTGACTCCAAAATCAAAATTAATTTAGGAGTGCAATTAAAGGCAGTGGGGGTGTGTTCGGGTCGGGTCGGGGCGGGGTGGGAGTTTACCAGGATTAGAAAGTAGGAATAGTCAATTTTATAAACGGGGCACCGAAACACCCCAGTCATCATTGGCCCAATGTCATGAAAACCGGCCTTTCAAAATGATTTTCAAAAGGTGCATATGCTCAAATAGTGCATGGGAGTGCAAATACCAATGATGATAGAATTCAGCCTGTAATAAGGCGCCGCTCCTTTGTGAGTGAACATTATAATCTTTGCTTTACTCTGAGTGAAGGGCAAGGAACCTCTTCATAAGATCCAGAAACATCCTCATATTTCTCGGCAATCTTTTTCCCCATTTCGCATCAGAAATCACAAGAAATCATTAGAAATGGGATCCCGAGGGATTGGTAGTCTAATCAAAGTACTCCTGCAGAACTTCGATGTTCTTGCCGGGTCTATCTCTCTATTTATTCCTCTCCTGTTTACCCTTTTCATTTAATTTTTTGGAATTTGCAGTTTAATTACTCAGTGAAGTTTTCTTTTCAATTTCAAGATTTGTTCTTCTGGTCTGCTCATTAGTTCTTTTCTTTTTCCTTTTTTTTTTGCCATTGATGATTTTTCAGGCCCGTGGTTAGTCTGGCTTATCCTCTGTAAGTGGGATTTTTCTCTCTTATTTTCAAGATTTTAGTTTTTCTTTCCATTGAGATTAGCTTAGTAGTTTTATGAATGAAACCAAAATGTCATTTTTGCTTTACGGGTCGGTGTTGATAAGAGGATTAATTGTTTTTTTTCCAGATATGCTTCTATCAGAGCTATTGAGACGAAGAATCCCGTGGACGATCAACAATGGCTTACCTATTGGGTTCTCTACTCTATGATTACGCTTTTCGAACTTACATTTGCGAAAGTTCTTGAGTGGTAACTTTCTTTTTCCCTTATAAGCAGAGAATTTGTGACCGCTTGCTATGCGTTTATCAGTTGATAATTATTGAGTGTGCATATAGAATTTCTCGGGTATAAGTTGACATTTAATTTCTTTTCTTCGATTAATATGTTGGTTACTAGAAGGATGTGAAGCAATCCTTCTAGAAGGATTGCTTTCCTTGATTTTTTTGCATTTTTCATTGGACATTGAATTCTCACAAATAGAGTTTGAGTGTGGCTGACACGAGCCGATTTCTGCTGAGTAAATCTGATTATTCCCCATGATATTGGTTGCATCTATCATTTCTACCTTTTCTTCACTATCTGGTTCTTTAAGTCTTGTGGTGCTCCCCAGCTAAAATGAATTGATCACTTAGGTTTCTCACTGATTTATGTGATTTATTCTTCTTGTTTGCTATCATTTTGATTAGCTCCTTAATCGATAAGTTCCACATTCCGATTCGTTCAGTGTATCCTATTCTGAATAATGTATGTGAAGGAGGTGAACATATGACCCAGCATTTTCCCATTGCCAACTGAATAATGTATGCGAAGGAGGTGATTTTGTGTGTTCAAATATTTCAAGAAAGAACTCAATTATCAGTTCGTGATCTCATTGCAACATGAATGAGAAATAACATAGTCTTGCAAACTATGTTGAAGTTAATCTTTTTTTTCTTTGCATGTAACACAATCTATGTTTTTTTTCCTAGAAAGATGTTATGTGTTCCTAAAATGTTTCATAACTCCTATTCATTGTCATCTAGTGGTTTTGGTGTAATTTATTATTTCTTGAAACAAGTTTTTTTTTTGAAAGGATGAAACAAGCTTATTTAGTTAAACAAGAAACATAGGAGTATAATGTTTTATTGGCGTAACAGGTTTCCAGTCTGGTCATATGCAAAACTGATCTATACCTGCTGGTTGGTCATACCTTACTTTAGTGGTGCTGCATATGTGTACGAGCACTATGTTAGGCCATACATTGTTAAGGGACAAGTTGGTAGCATCTGGTATGCGCCCCGAAAGAAGGTTGTTTTCGCTGAACGTGAAGACATTATAACCGCAGCGGAAAAATACATTAAAGAAAATGGAAGTGAAGCATTTGAAAACATAATCCACAAGGTATTTTGAACTCATCTTCATCTACTTGAGCTTCTTACTGCTGAGCTTTCCTTCACTAGTTTCCAGCCTTTAACAAACTCCCTCCGTCCCATAAAACTTCTCCACTTCGGGAAAAAGTGGGATTTAAAGAATGTGTAATTTTGGTGTTGTTTTCTAATTATGCTCTTACTTTATAGTGGTAAGGTAAGATAAGATTTGATGGGTACATTAATAGTAAAAGTATATGATATGATAGGCAGGTTAATAATTAATATTTTATGGGTATAAGCGAGATTTTAATTGAAAGGGGAAGTGTTTTTTGGGAGGGATGAAAAGTGAAAGTGGAAGGCCCCGTTTGGTACATGGAATTCAAACTATGGAATAGGAATTGAGTAGTTCAATTCCAATTCTGGTATTTGGTAGAACAAAAATTATGTGGATTTGGAATTAACAGTGCAAAAAATGAATTGGAATTGGTGAATTCAATTCTATGGAATTGAATTTCATGGAATTTCAATTCCAATTCAATTCCAATTCCATCAATTCCATATACCAAACGGACCCGAAAGGTTTTTTGGGACGGAGGGATTACAATTTATTGGTCATTGCTCAATTTTTTTACTTGGGGAGAAAGACCAAAGTAGGATTAAAACATTGAAAATATACCCAAATAGGATTTCCGTGTTTTTATTCTCGAAATAGGACATAAAACACATTTATATTACCAAACATGGTCATGTACATTACCAAAAAGTATAGTAATGTGCACATATACAATGCTACATTACAACTACATCACCACAGTGTAAAGTTTTACAACTACATCACCACAGTGTAAAGTCCTATTTCGGAGAAAAAACATGAAAGCCCTATTTTGGTATTTTTCTTTATGTTTTTGTCCTATTCAGGTTGATTTCTATTTTTCCTTGTCTGTTGCCAACTGAGCTAAAAGATTCAATATTGACAATAATTTTAGCTAAGGGTAAATTACGGACTAGATCAAAATGACACATTAAATTTCCTTTGCTTACTGTCTATGAAGTTTTACATAGTAAATGTGGCAATGCATCAAGAATTCAAGTGTCTAACAAAAACAGCCTCTTTTTTAAGTGGGGTAAGGCTGCGAACATCAAGAGCCCCCCACCCCCACCCCCACCCCGATTCCAACAAAGTTGGGATTATACTCTCCACTTTTTTCTCCTTTTATTGTACACAAACACTAGAAATTGGACATAAGGTACAATAATCTGTTTTGGGTTATATAATCCTTTGATTAGGAACCCGGAATTGAAGTCTTTAGGATTGGCCTGTTTCTAAGGAAAGGGTTCCTAGGGTTCGGCAATTTCAAAACACCCGTTTTATATGAATGCGTGCAGTCAAATACTGTAATCCAAGTTTGATTCTTCTTTCTGCAGGCTGAAGTTCAATCCAAGTATAGAAACAGCAATTATGTGTTTGACGATGAAGGCTATAGATACTGAGCCTTGTGAGCTTCTCCTGGGACACCTTTGCTGTGTAGTTTTATTGTAAAGATATGGCATTTTAACTGATGGCCTACTCTGTTTTTGGGTAATAGTTAGTCCCTCATGTAGTACTTCAATATAATCTGACTCTATGTTGACAAGTTAAATTTCGTTGCACCCAAGTTTGTGTGTGTGTGTGTGTGTATTTATGTGTGTGTGTACTCCGTAGTAAATTACTATTTTGAAATATTAGTAAAGAAATCTAAGTAAACAAGATTGCAGCATAGAATTTACATTAAAATAAGCTCTTATATTTTTATCTCCTAAGAGCATGCGCAGCGGCGAGGTATTTCCTCGCTCGCTGCGCCACATATTTGGAAAAATTGCCTCGCGTGGCTTAGCCTTCCTCCACGCCAAGCGTGTGAGGCGCGAGGCAGTCCAGGTGTTTTTTGCGGAGTATTATTTTTTTTTGTTTTTTTGTAGAAGAAATAATTTTTTAAAAAAAGAGTACATCTATTTAAAAAAAGATAAATGAAATAATTTTTAATAATTAAAATGCATTAAAAAATCATAAAAATTGACAAAAATAGTGACTTGCCACTGCACGAGATGCCACTCCACTCACTTGTCACACGCTGATTGGATTGTCTTTTATTGGTTGAAATGTGCCACGTCAACGTGTGACATTCCATTTCGTTACTTGACATTGCCCGTGCTCTAAATAGGAGTGATAGCACTGTGAAACATTACAATTTGGCATTGTGTATTCATATTTCGCAGTGTTTTTGACATTACATATTCATATGATTTGTCAATGTAAGCCTTATTTTGGTATAAAAATATTGAAAATCTTATTTTGGTGTATAAATCATATGCTTTAATCTTAGGTATTTTTTTATATTAGTAGTACTCTCTTCGTTTCAAATAAAACTCCTCTTAATTTAATTTATTTGACAATTAGGATAGATATAAAAAAATAAAAATTTACATATTTAAAAAATACAGTACATGAAAAAATTTCCCAAATAAAATATCATATGACTATAAATAAGCTGTCCATGAAGGGTTGGCAAATTATTACATGCATCTAAGGTCTACGCTTGACTTTCATATATGCTAAATAAGTATTTCAAGTGTCTAAACTCTAAATAAGTATTTTTTTTAAATTTAAAAAATATATATGTGACAAAATTCACGTGAACTTTAGGTCCACCATAGAATCATTCTCAGGGGTTTATAAGATAAGATGCATTTGCATAGCCCCCCCCCCCCCCNCCCCACTACAAGGGGCTCATTTTTAAGTCTCCCTTCGGTTATACTTCCTTCATATAGCGTGCTCATTATTCACATGATCGAACTTTAGGTAAAACACTAAAATATGAGTAAAACATTGAAAATATATCAAAATAGAAGTTTTATATTTTTTACAAAAAGTATTGTGAAATTTTTATATATAGTGTCACATTAGCACAATGCAAACTCCTATTTTGGGGATAAGAACATGATCCTATTTTAGTACTTTCTCTATATTTTACTCCTATAAAGAATGTTTTCTTGAAACTTTAACCACTTTATTTTTTTGTTGATAAGTTGGTAAAATAATATACTAATGCCACAACTTGATTTGTAAAACTTTTGATATGGTTTTTAAATATATATTCGTCTAGTTTTGACTTTTGAAAATGTTCATCTAAGCACTTTGACTCATCAAATTCTCTCAATGCGTAAACCTAAATATAGTCATGTGTGATCTTGTTTGATTTGTCTTAACATATAGATTATTAATATATAATTTCTATAATTTTTTAATATACAAATTACAAGATAAAATGAATTAAAGAAGTGCATTGGATTGTGTGTAAAAATGAAAGTGGACAAATACTCTGGGACGGAGGTAGTATTTCTTATTTTTTATTATATATGTGTGTGTGTATGGTGCTCGTAAAATTGATAGTTTCTACCCCTCTAATGCCCCTACCAATTTCAGCCCCACCCCCCACTCCAGCATCCCCTCCAAAACAGCGAGTGCCATTTGTTAACACAGAATGCCAATGTCAACAGAACCTTACTTTCCTTTATTTTTATATTTTTTAATACTACTCATTTTTCTTAATGCCATTAAAAAGTATCTAATGTTGTATCTCATATACTCCATATTAGTCTACTTTTAAAAATTGATATTTTTTAAAACAATAAAAACTGAATCTTGAACTGCCATAAACCAAACATAATAACTACGGAGTAATGCTTTATATTGTTATTGTGTAAATCGAACCGAAGAAAATCGCAAATTCAGATTCTATTTCGTCATTGGTTTTGGAGAAAACTAAACCGATAAAATCAAACCCTCCCCTATCTATAAGTAGGTATTTTTTTCAAATTAATTTTCAAGATAAACTAATTACTGAGGTGAAACTTGTTAGTCGAGAGTAATCCTTGGATAAGTACATCGACTCACAGTCCGTCAAAATAACTTCAAAATGAGGGGTAGTACAATTAAGGATCGGATTTGGTGTACCTCTAACATTACTCGACCTATTAGGTCTTGGCCGCGATGAAGCGAATTTTGTATCTTTTGAGAGATCTAGGTATGGTCTAAATAACCGATGCAAAAGCACTTATTTTTTTAAGGAAGGCTTTTGCATCGGTTATATAGAAAAAACTGATGCAAAAGTTTTTTTTAATAAAAAAAACTTTTGCATCGGTTTCTTCTAGAAAAAAGACGCTTTTGCATCAGTTTTTTACAACCGATGCAATTGCTCTGGAGCAATTGCATCGCTCGCATTTGCATCACTCAAAAACCGATGCAAAAAGTCCCTAACATCCGATGTTATTGCCCTTTTTTGTAGTGATGAGACCATACTATACCCTGAGAACTCCACATCGACAATGTGCAAAATAGACCAAAGCATCCTCAATAGTTCCAAATAGGTCTAAATAACCGATGTAAAAGCTCTTTTTTTAAAATAAAAAAAGGGTTTTTGCATCCTTTATTTAGAAATAACCGACGCAAAAGCTTTTTTTAAATAAAAAAACTTTTGCATTGGTTATTTCTAAATAAAGGGCGCTTTTGCATTGATTTTTTACAACCGATACAATTGCATCGCTCAAAACCTGATGCAAAAGGTCTCAAACAATCGATGCTATTGCCCTTGTTTGTAGTAGTGACCAGACCACACCATACCCTGAGAACTCGACATCCATAGTTTCCAAAATAGACCAAAACACCCTCAATAATTCCAAATAGGTCTAAAAAGATCATACCTTGTCGGAAAGAGCGAAAAATTTCCGTGTTGGGGGATGCAGTTACAAGTCCCATGGGCAAGCGTGTTTGGAGGGTATAACACAATCACACTCGCCTTAGAGTTTCCTAGTTTGTGCCCAGAGAGGATAATAGAAGAACCGTTCACCACACAAAACGAGAATCTTTTGCCATGCAAAACAAAACCAAACTCACCAGTCTAGAAATCCATCAGATCCACTAATTCCAGAGTTATGAGTCTTCTTATTACTACATGCAAATTAGATTTCCAGTACATCACAATTCACAAGTCTATTAACTCGTGCTAATTCTGCAATGGCGTGTATGAAATAAATGTGTCGCTTCTATCGACTCTGCCTCATCTGGAAAACGAGTACTGATTTATAGAATAAAGAAGTTTTGCACATTTTTAAGGAGATGATAAATAACTGAACTGGTTGATTGACTCCTTGTCATGAGGCACCGGCGCCTTCTGTCTTTCCTTTATACTCTTCTTCTTCTTCTTCTTCATGATACTCTGGTTCGGCTTCATCAGCATCATCTGTAGCTTGGTTCAGTATCTCCTTGGCTTCTGCTAGCGCAGATTCTTTCTCATCAACCGCGTATAGAATTTTCTTTATTGCAACAGCCATCTGCAACAAGTTTGAGGCTCAAACTAATTGATTGAGTCCATAATACATACGGAGCGTAAATCTTTAAGCTTGCAACAATTTGTGAAGGCAGTGACCAAATCTTTGAAATGAATATACTTGAAGAACCGGAATCCATTTTTAACAAAATGAAAACAAGCAGTTGCTTTAAGCTTGCCACTACTTGTAAACTGTTGCAGAGTACTAAAATAGAGAGGCAGTGACAAAGCTTCTAAATGCGTATAATAGAAAGATCAAAATCACTTTTACCAGACAAACAATCAGTTTTTTTAAAGCTTGCCACCATTTGTTAAGTACTAAATTAGAATGGTAGTGACAAAATATCCAAGTGTACAATTGAAGGATCAAAATTGTTATTACCATGATTACAAGACTATATGAGTATATGTGGAGTACTAAACTGGGAAGGTTGTGGCAAAACATTCTTCTAATATGTGTAACTGAAGGATCAAAATTGCTTTTACCATAGTTAAAACAAGCAGTTATTTAAAGCTTGCCACTGCTATTTCTAATGAAATACTTAAAACAGAAGCTAAACCTAAGCAGAAGAAAAATGGATGGATGATTCACAAATTACCGGGACATTTTCTATATCGGGAGCCTGGCAGAGAATCTCAACATCACGTAATTTTGAAAAATAGAAATCCCTTTCTTTCTCCAAGAGATCAATAGAGAGTTTGAGCTCTGTCACCTGTATAAATTGTATATTCACGTATAAAACTTATTAGACACATGCTATAACAAAAAAAAAACCAATATGAACAACACTCCTAAACCATTGCAAGGAGCTTGATATAAAATATAACTATAAAAAATTCGTAGTAAAAAAATAAAAAAATGTCAGAATCTAAGCGATGCATATAGTCAATTCAACCCTTTACTATACAATACACTTTTTTTTGTTAACATGTACTCCCTTTGTCCCACAAAAAGGTTTCAAGTTTCTTTTTTAATCCGCCCCAAATAAAAGGTTCAACTTTGCACTTTTGAAAAAAAATCTGTGGCTTAAATTATTCTCCCCTCTGCACCACTTTCAACCTGTGGTAGTCCCTCTACTTTTGTGGGATTCTAATGGGTTGTTGTTGTCATTACCTGCAGCTAAAAAAGATGCAATTTAGCGACAATGCACGGATATGCTGGCGCACAAGCCTCATCTGGCCGAGTAAGCCAATTTTCTCCTCTCCTATCCTACTCGTGCACAAGTTGAATGCCTCATGGAGGTTCGGCATTTGTATTGGGAGGGCTCAACTCTTGGACAATGAAAGACAAGTTCCCCATTGTGGTCATGGACAAGTTATTAGATGATCAAGACTCTAATAAAGGTTATAAAGCTGTACTTTTTGAATTTACCTTGGTGTTTCCTAATCGTAGTAGGTTTCTTGGAGGTGCAAAATTCTATTCAAGCTCATATTTTCCTAGTGTTAAGGAGTGTTTAGAATTTAATCAAAGGTAGTTAATGTTCTAAACAAACCCCCCCAAAGCTCTCTCTTTCTCTGTTTTGCTTGCATGTATTTCCTGTCTCCCTCCCGGTACAGATCTGCATGTACTGCCCCAGTCCGAAACGCAGTCCTGCTGATGGTCAGCTATCATTGGTGACCTCTTCTTTTTATGCTGAATGAAAAACAATGTGCATGGTGCATCATAGGAAAGTCAACCCTCTCTACCAAGCCATTTGTTTAGAAGGAGCACCTTGTCACACATACATATTCCCGAGAACATAGCATTGCGTATTCACGTGTCAATTGAAATTCTGCTAGTGAGTGAGCTTCATGAACCAACGAATGTACGAGTGATAGTGGGGTTCTACGGTGTATGGCTCACAGGTGCACTAAACTCTGATACTTGATTGCAGTGACGGCTCGTCGGTGGTGGATGTACCTCCCGATATTTGTTGTCAGGTGGTATCATATATTGAGCATTTTCTAGCAGATGTTCAACCTAATGTTCTGAGAATAATGTTTTAAAAAAAGGAGAATAATCTTCTGAAAGAGAAGAATACTGTTCTTGGAATATTTCTATGATGCTATGCGATGTAAAGGGAATTTATTATACAAGATAACTGATACTATCTAGGGTAAATTACAACTCCTATTTATTGTAATTCCATGTCAAGCTTTTGTTTGAAGGGAAAGTTATTCTATTTTCAAATGGTAAATTGGTTAAATTCAAAATTACCCAATTGTCTACTTGAAGGGAATTGGTTAGATTTCAAGTGGTTAATTGGTTAGAGTCAAATCACACTTGGGGGGAATGTTAGAGTCCTACATTGGAGCATTACGATCCTGTACTTTAGGGTTGAAACTTGAAAGAAAAAAATTTAAAATTGGAAGAAACTATTTGGGGAACTGAAATAACTGGGAAAAATTGAAGGAACTTGAAAAAACTAGAAGGAAATGAAAGAAATTAGAAGGGACTGGAAAGAGTATGAAAAAACTCGAAAGAGTTGGAAAATATTAGAAAAAATGAATAATTCTGAAATAAATATAACTTTTGAAATAAAAAAATGAAAAATATACATATTATACTCAATATATTCCAAGTCCTTGCAGTTTCTTCCAACACCTTGCAGTCTCTTTCAACTTTTTCCAGCTTCTTTCAACGTTTATTTTATTTCTATTCCTTCCAAACTAAAGATGCAATGAAGAAATTTAGAGATAAAATAACATATAGTATTTTACAATGTAATTGAGTTTAGTTGAATATACATTATGTAGCTTTTACAATATGATTATGTTGAAATTGAAGAAACTGGAAAAAAACTAGAAGTAAACAGTTTAAACCCAAAAGAATATGCTCAAAATAGAGAATGATTGGTTTATAAAATCTTGAAGTGAACTGGCTAATTAACTAGATTCATTTTTTGAGTGTGGAAGCATCTTAAGACCCATTTGAGTGACTCTAACTCTATATTAAATGCTACCAGTAATTAATATTGGACTAAAACAGTTAGGATAACTATAGAATAAGGGTTTGCGTAACAATAATGAACAAATTTATCTAAAGGACAAAGGTTGGGAATGCTTTGGAAAGAATGAGTTAACTGAAATCTTATGGCCCTGAGAGAAAGTTCTAAATACATTGGGGGAAGTATACTTGGTACATATTGACTCAAACTCCTTTAAGAATATTTAAAAGACAAACAAAATACCAAATTAAGGTGTTAAGGAACCAACTCAACCAAAAGCTCAAACTTCTGGTTGTAGGCCCATTAAAGGTTTTTACATTCTAAGACGCCTTCGCGTGATTCAAACCTTTCACATGCAACCTTAATTTTTTTCAAACTAAATGATGAATGGTTAGTTTCAAACTCGTGAGCTCTCAGTCAATGTTAAAGTATCTCACATCGAATATCGAAGAGAAAAGGAATGAATATATATGCTCTTGAGTTGAACTAAGTAATCAATTGGATTCAATCTTTTAATGTGGTTCAACCCAAGTGTGTTATAGCCTAGTCCAGTGACCCTCACCCCATCCAAAATTTAATCGTAGCATCAAAGCAAGTTTTGGTCCACCTCGTTTGTCCTTCTAGACCTTCATTCCTAGCGGCCCGTGAGTCCTTAGCCCAGTTATCCATATGAAAAAAATACATGTGGCCAATTTAACAATTGTTAATCCGAAAATCCACACCCAATGGCTTGTGGTCATATAGATGTTGACGCCGCATTCTCAAACATTGGTTTCAAGTGGAAGGATGTTCATTTGCAAGTGGTCAACCGGTTAGATTCAAAATGGCTCAGTTGTCCACTTGAGGGTGAATCTTAAAGTATCTCACATCGAAAGTCGAGGAGAAAACAAATGGGTATATAAGCTCTTGAGTTGAACTAAGTAATAGATTGAATTCAATCTTTTAATATGATTCAACCCAAGGACTTATAGCCTAATCCAGTGACCCTCTACCCATCCTAAATTTTATCAACTTAGGCTTCTGGTTGTTTTTATATTCTAATCGAAGGGAAGAGAAGCATTTTCTTGCCAAAACAGTTGAGTCTTCTCCGGTATGGATGAAAGGTATGCATATCACTTGTATGCACTTGAAGAGCGCCTAGAATACGAAACCAAGTCATGGCATGTGCATCACGAAATATATAAACATAAAGAATGATGTCTTAAATGAAGAAAAATGCCAAAACTTGTGGGGGAGGAATAAAAGATTAAATTATTATGATCATAATACATTAAAAATCAACTCTAAGTCTCATTATGTTGACATTTGTCATGGAAGGGTTGATTACACATCAAAGATGAGGTAAAATAGTTGAAGATAATATGTGTTCACCAACGAGTCCAAAGCACATACATTGATTCTATGGATAAAAAAGAGAGTGCAAATATTGATAGAGATATCGCATACTCACATACACTATCAATGCATGCTAGGCGGAAAAAAAAAAGAGGAGCTACTATACTATATGAGTACATTGTGATCAAAATCAGCTTCTAAGACTTGAGAAAAATGTTAAAGGACCACAATCAAACTGTATATGGATTTTAATGTTGGTATATTTAGGAAAGATATATTGATGAAGATGAGTATAGCTTAAGAGTGTAGTGTTCCCACTTTGTCACCTAAGTTCCCAATCAGATAATCTTGTGGAGGTTAAGTGCTAATGGGGTTCGATCACTGGTGGGAAAAGTGGAAGGGGAAATCAGAAACCTCTAAAACCGAGACGACCCCATCGTAGAGCTAAGATGTGCATATTTATAGGGATGTATGGTCAAACAAGAAAATATATTGTTCTTATTCAGATCCATGCGAAATTTGGTGCTTTTGTGATGCACACTACATTCTGAGATCGTAAAAATAAATAATAAAACAAAATTAGAAAATGAGTGATAAGGATAGTTGATATGTTCAAATATGCCTGATTGATCTTATTTTAATTTGATTTATTACTTCCATTAGCATATCTTCTTAAGAAATGGTTTCCTGTGATTTCTTCATTTATTTGTTTTGGGTATGCTCACAAGTATACCAAAAGAGAAGGAAAACTCACAAGTATTAACCCCCCCCCCCCAAAGTCAATTCACCCTTTTAGTTCATTCCTGTGAGGCAAAGAGTCTCAAGACAAAACAACTGCCCGTTTATAAGACCCAATCATTGAATGGACCAATTGGGCAAAGCTGCTTAAGGCCTGAGTGTAATTATAATCGACAGACCCATTTATAACATGAGTAATAAATGGATGCCTAGGGGATTTGTTGATGCTGGACAATGCCAGAATAGGATATGGCGAGGCGAACCCACATGCCAAGCATCATCCAACGTCTAGACGCATAGTCAGCAACACTGTAATAACAGAGTGCTTGTGCCACTAGATAGTGTACAACTCAAATTGTCTCCCTTAGATGGGGGCATCATGCGCAAATTGGAAGATGTGGACATGTGGTCATCCATATTAAATAATAATCCCTATATCTCTAGATTTTACTATTCACATGGTCAAACTATATCTTCTTTCCTTATTTACTTTAATCATTTGTTACAATAAAGTAGTCAAGTCGCCTCTTATTTTATAGAAATTTTGATTTAGCTTTTAAATGTATTTAATTATTACAAATTTTAAACTAATATTTAAATAAATTAAATTGAAAATAACTTTGGTCAAACACTGTAAGCTAAAAACTGAATTTTATGTTAAGACACGGAGGGAATAGAATTTTATACAAACCACATCTACTGAATGTTGGTTTAAGAAAATTTCATTATGTAAAATGAAACCAGGAATCTTAATTTAATACAGACTACCAGCTCAGATAAAATATTCAAGGAAAGTTAGCAATGTATATTGGCATCGGTGAACGTAACGTTTCCTCATAGAACAGTCAATGGAAATCAAAAGCAAAACTGGCTTAATTCAAACAATTACCTCCTTTGACAATGCCTCAACCTCTGCTGCAGTTGTTCCTAAATGTGGTTTTGCTTGCTTGGACTCTGTATCAGCGAATACAAAACAAACACATAGTTGAACTATAAATGGAAGAAGAATCGAAAGGAATAAATGTGAGTTTTTATGCTAACCCAAAATCTTAGTGGAGGCTACTCCATCCCCTGAGCTTGTGCTGTGGGAGTTGTTGGTTTGTAGTGACTTTGTATTTCTTAGAGAAACTTTAGTACACCGTTCCCTCCCGCCTCTACAACGCCGCTCCACAGGATTGTAATTCCTGAGATATTGACAAGCATTAAAAGCAAAGAGAAGAAAATGATGATAATTTTATGAAAGACGAGATGCGCAAGCATATGGGAAGAGGTGTTATACTCGTTAGTAATGCCACCATTTATAGAATCACAATAACGTTTCAACCATTGTAAAAACTCTAAGTTATCCAAAGGCCGGCCCTTAACTAGCCTGTTGACTTCAATGTGCTGCAAACAAAATATAATTTCTTTAGTGTCAATACTTGCAACTAGCAAAGTATGAAAATATGATCTACAATTAAATACACTGATGCAGTTTAGCATCTACTTGCTAAAAATTAACATAGCCATTACATAAAATTATACACAATAGCTCTGTATTTGACCTGTGTATATAACAACATCATATAGATTGGGAACATATTTGATGTGTCTGTGTATGTGTGTGCGCGCACGTCAAGAGATCGGCTACGTGTCACAGGATTGTGATTGACAGAGAAAGAGGGAAGAGATCCAGATATTTGAAGGAAAAATTTTTTTTTTTTATATTTTATTCAAAAATACCAACATTTTTCCAGATGTCCGTATTAAAGTAGGAGATTCAAAGGATGCGGAATATTAGGTTGTAAAACATGAATATTTGGTATAAAGTAGCTAATGTAAGCATACATGAGGTCACCCTGTGATGTCATAGAACAACATAAGTTATTATTTTCTGCTTTGCTAATTATATCCTGTTACTCTTCAACAAGAAATATGAAATATGAGATATACTAATATCTTTCTATTACACAAAATATAATAATTTTTAACATGGTATCAAAGCCATTGATCTTTTAGTGTTAATAGCATCTTTCGGTGTGAGCAGTAAACTTTTCCAACAAACGCTATTCTCTCAGAGTGGTATGCAAAATGTAAACCCATCACAGGACCCGTCTTTTCTTTATTTCTCATGTATACAATGATAGGATCATCCAACGACGATGCCACCACCACACATTGAATCATCTTCTACAGGTGAGTTCAACAACACCACTTGTTAACTGACCAAAGATATGTGGCTTAAGAAATTTAACACATGAGCTTATGTTAGATCAATACTTTGTAATTAAGTGATTGACCATGAATTTCGATCAGCATTACAGAATATTTACCTTGTCAATTTTAAGCTTGTTGAAAACATCCTGCAGTACTTTGTAATTTTGGATCATATCATATTCTGTCTTCGCATCAAAGTTCACCTACGCAATGAAAGATTTAAAATTGCAAAGAGCCAAAAAAACAGAAACAAGGCAAGAAAGGGTGTTAAAGCTACAATTTTTCACCTTGTGCATTGGAACAATTCCTGGGTAGGTCATGTCCATCATTTGGCATTGCACTGCTCCAGATGCAGCCTGGCAAAATAAAATTGAGAAGAAAATATTCATGACAGCACTGTGCTTAAAATAATAAATCATGTGCATTCCTTGAACAGTTTGATTCTACCAACCATAATACCATACTACCTCTATCCCCCAAAAAAATGTTATGATCCATCAATATACAATTTATATTCATATTTTGGTCAACTGGTGAGAGCCACCAACCGTGCACATGCTTTTCAAATTTAGGTTTATAACGCTTAACTTGTCAGATATTCTTTTCAGGAGTTTTCAATAACTTAAAGAAAGAGTTTCTTCATTTCTTGAAACATAACTCTTTTTTATGGGATTAAAAGGGGTATTACAACTAGACTCATTTTTTGTAGGATAAAGAAAATATTTTGGAAAGAATATTAGTTATCCACAGTCAATTAATCTAAGAAAACTGAAAGAAGAAACAATTATCCAGTCAAAGTGCACACCATCGGAGAAATACACTAGAGAGCTTCCTTGAGACACATTCAAGGTAAAGATACGAATGTAATGAAGTTCATAATGTGCAAAGAAAGATTGTGCAAAGCGACCACAGTCAATATCTAGCAAACATCATGCTTCCTTCAGCCATTCAACAATAGTATATAAAGACAAGTTTGTGAACTATTTGTCTAAAGAAAACAATCATCAACTCGTTCAGAAACAATAAAAAACACCAGATTTAACCCCATTCCCAGCCACACGTCTTGAAGCGAAAAATGGTTTTCTTTTCAAAATAACATGTATGGAAGAATTAGAAGAGCTTGCGAATTCCACAACAAATCAAATACAAACCATACAATGTACTTTGCATAACAGCATTGTAAAGATAAGAACTTCTCAACCAAAAATAATAACAGCATAAACTAAACATAGAATGAACTGGCCAAAAGAAAACAGAAATGGGTACCTCCTCAATGCGAGAAAGATTAAGGTGGAGCCTCGAATTAATCCAGGAAAGAATCTCATTCCTGCCCACAAAGTAGGCACTATCCATAATCCCGATATTAGAAGCCATTATTGCGAGCTTAACAATATCTAGTTATGCATTTGTGTATCCCTAAATCCGGACTTCAAAAGGGGCATCAACAAGAAATGAAGGAATTCTAAAGCGCAACTCTGAAACAAAGAAGAAATGGAGACGTATGGGGTTTAGAGGTGCTTCTATGTACACCGCACGTTGGAAATGGAGAGGGGAATGTCCTAAAGGGAACAATGGAGGTGCGTAAAGCGTAGGTTTTCGCAATTCAAATTAAATACGGAGCATTTGTTTCCCTAAACAGCTACGAACAAGGGGAGCTGCTTCAAGCATAGGTTTTCGTAGTTCAAATTATATACGGAGCATTTGTTTCCCTTAACAGCTGATTCTGGTTTTAGAGTAATTCCAGAAATAATCCTTAATCAGATGGAAGTTTTTTTCACCATTTACACTAAGGAGGTTGTTTATTTTAGCCTCTTAATGATTCAGATGTCTGAATGATTCAGCACTTAATGGTTCAAACTGTTTGTTTCAGCCTCTTAATAGTTCAGAAGTCTGAATGGTTAAGAGATTTGCCTCTGAATGGTTAAGTATTATATAGAGTCTGAATGGTTAATATCTCTTATCTGAATTGATCAGACATTTGCTTCTGAATAGTTAAGCAATATACTAGCTCTTAATGGTTCAGACCTCTTACTGGTTCAGCATTTAATGGTTCAGACCTCTTATTGATTCAGCACTTACCCATTCAGAAGTTGCCAAACAGCCCCTAACACTATGTTTGGTTTAAGAGGAAAAGAAAATAACTTGGAAGAAAAAAAATATGAGAAGGTAAATGTATCAAGCAGAAGAAAAACCAAATTCCTCTCATTTTGACCAGAAAAAATGAGACAAAATTATTTTCTTTTCTTTTCTTTCCAAATTTTTTGAAACAAATATAATGTAAGAACATGCTCTTTAGAATTTAAACTCTTAACTTCTAGTTTCTCTTGTTCCTTTCAATTTCTTTCAGTTTTTCCAATTTCTTCCAATTATTCTCATTTTCTCCAAACTCTTTCTACACTCTAACCAATTACTCTAAAAAAGATATATTTTTAATGTGATTATTATTATTGTTATTATTATTACAATTATAATGTCATAACTATAGTTTATAAATTATTTTTTCATCACACTATTTTTACGATTCACACTCATTATTATTTTTTCTTCAACATTTTAATATGAATAAGACAATTTTTGTGTATATTAATCTACATGATAAAATAGGAAAACATCAATATTTTAAATTATATTAAAAAATTATGGATAAAATAGTTACATAGAATGTTTTATTAATCTAACTTTATATAAGATCCCTCACCTTTCTCTTTATTACTTAATTTTTTCTCATTTTTATTTATTTTAAAATTTAATTTTGTTTATTATTTTTCTAATTTTTTTTTAAAAAAATTGAAAGTCAAAATAGTTGAGAGAAAAAACACTAAAATAAGAATAAAACATAAAAAATGTACAAAAATAAAAGTTCTATGTCTCTATTCCAAATATAGAAGTTACAATGAAAATAAAATGATAATCATGATAAAATAGGTTTGATTACATTATGTGACATGAATGATATCTAAAACAAAATCTTGTAATATATAAAGTATAATTACAAATATATTATTTTATAATAAATACTGCATAAATAAATTGAGGAGCAACGTAATAACTTTTTAGAATTTCACATTTTGATATTCATGTTAACTTTATATTATAATTTTTTTTTTGTAAAAATAGTTTTTTGTGTATGAAAAATAACAATACTTTTTTATCTTAAATGCATTCATTGAAATAGCGCGATGATGATGATAATTATAATAATAAAAACAAAAATAATAATAATAATTTATAACAACAAGAATTAGAATGAGAATAATATAAAAATACACTAAAATGATTTTTTAAAAGTTTTTTTAGGTTTTCCAATTTTTGAAAGTTATTCCAGTTTTTTCTAGTTTTTTCTAGTTCCTTTGAGTTTATTCCAGTTTCTTCCAATTCCTTCTAATTTCTTCCAGTTTCTTCTAACATCCAGCTTTTTTTCAGTTCTAAACAACATACTCTAAGGGGGTGTTTGTTTTTTCTGCAGGAAAAGAGCTGCAGTCTGCGGACCACTACTGTAGACATCTGCAGGAGAAGTGGTGGACCGAAGGTCTGCGGTCTGCAAGAAGAAGACTGTTTGTTTTTTAATGTCTGTAGACTGCTATATAAATTAATGGTGGTAGTGTACGGTGGTGGTGGAGGGTGGTGATGAAGGGTGGTGGTGGACGTTGACGGCGGTGGTGGTGGACGGTGGTGGTGGTGGTGGCGGTGGATGGTGGCGGTGGTGGTGGACGACGGTGGCGGTGATGGTGGACGGTGGTGATGGTGGTGGACGGGGGTGGTGGTGAAGAGAAGTAGAAGAAAAAAATGGAGAAGATGTTAGAAGATGTTAGATGACATAGGTTAATGTCTTCTCCAAGAAGATGCCAGGAAGACCTTTTTGAGTGAAATGTCTTCCAAAAAACAAACAATCTGCAGAGCTCAGCATGTGCGCGCGTCTGCGCGGCGCAGACAAAAGAGGCCAGAAGCTCTTCTGGCCAAAAAAAAAACAAACACCCCCTAAATAACTAGGGTCATATCTAAATAACTAGAGAGCTTTTTGCTATTTTCACTGATTAAACAATCAAAAAGAGTGTTTGACATTTTTTGTTGGGATTTATGTTGGGATTTACTGCTTGAGTCCAAAAACTAAAATATGAAAAATTATAGGGAGTAGCTTTTCACTTTGGTTATTTGACAAAATTGAATGCTGTATTTTTTATTATTTTTCTTTGTATTTATTGTTTTGGATAAATATAAATAAATAAATAAATAAAAACTCCTTCCCGAAGTAAAATTCATAGAGGAATTTACAAGAAAAAATACTTCTTGAGAAAATAATTATGACTTCAAACAAAATAATTTAAAAAACATGGATAAGATAATAAATTATAGCCACACTTGATATAATCCACAAAAAAACTTATTTTTATAAATATTAAAAAGAATTACATTTATTCTACACCAGAGCTATATTGGAATTTTCAAATAAATTTATTTTCAAAAAAGTAAAAAAAGAATTATAATTACATTGTTTTTCACTTAAAATTTTTGAAAAATTATCATGTAAAAGTAAGCTCATGTACTTTGTACCCAAAATTTATTACACTTGATATGCATTAGTTTTTTAACAATAAAAAACACATATTATTGCATGGGTTTTAACAAAGAAAATTTCCAAAAAAATTAAAAATAATCACAAGTAATTTACTCTTGACTTTATTGAAACTATTATTTTAATTCATGCCGCGCCCTGGGCAAAACAAATTTTTTATCAATTCTGTAAATTTTTTTCAATGTAATATTTCTAAATGAACTTATGAAATTAGATGTACGTAATACATCCCAAGATTGAGTATTTAGAAACCCCATTCACTCTCCACCAATTCAAAACATCAAAATTTGAGTTATCCCACTCCAATTGCATCTAAAATATACCTATCCACGTCGTTGGTAAAATAGAATTCAACACTAGTGAGGTTAGAATCAGCACCACTACTATTCCACTAATGGTTGGTTGAATTGTTTAAGAAGAGAAGGATCCAATTGGTACAAATATATTATGTAGAGAAAGCAAGAACTCCTTCACCTCAGAGATGGTGTTATCAACCCTTTGATCAAGCTCCCCATAAATCAACTCCAAATAATCACCAAGTTTCTCAAGCTTATAAGGTGGGTGAAGAACTATTCTAACGAAATTATAGTTATTCTCCTTTGTGATATGATACGGCCTTGCCGGAGTTTGCCTCAAGAAGGACGTCACAGGGGTGGTGCACGGCTGGCGAGATACCAACTGCGTCGTAAGGGAGAGACGGAGGGAGAAACACTTTAGGGTTTTTAGAGAGATAGAGAGTTAAAGGGAAGTAGGATTGTATTATTTCTTGAGAGTATTAGGGTTATGATATGCCCTATTTATAATAAATTCCCAGAGCCTAATTAACTAATTGTCTATCATGTCGGTTCAAATAAAAGCGACGAGGTAAAGAATCGAAAAGAAATCCTCGAAAGAGCATTATAATTCTGCTCACCTAATAAAATCTAGGATAAAATAATTAATGAGAAAAGAATATCAAACATAATCTCTGTATCGTCGGGGTGGCCCGACATTCCTGCGTGGGCGACCTGCCGTGGGGATCGGATGTCTTCAACACGTGACCTAACCGTGCCCGTATCAACTCTCCCGAGGTTAGGCACGATGGCCTTGTCCTCAAGGCGTAAATCAGGAAAGCAGTCGCGCAGAATTGCCACGGGTTCCCATGTCATATGATCATCCAAGTCGTCTAACCAACGAACTAGCCACTGTCCCTGCGAGTCGCCTTCCACCAACACCACTCTGCGGTCCACCAGTGCCACCGGCCAGGCGAGTGGTCTTCCCTTGAAGAATTTCATCGGCAATGTAGAGTCTGGGGGGATGCCCACCCAAGCAACAAATGGGTAGAAAAGTAAACATGGAACACATTGTGTATGCGACAACCGTCGGGCAAGCGCAAACGAGAGGCAACCGTACCCACACGCTCTATCACTTTAAAGAGGTCATACAAGCGTTGTTCGAGCTTAAAGGACAGGGGACGCGCGAGGGAATGTTGCTGATACGGGTGTAGCTTCAATAAAACTAAATCACCGACGTTGAAGGATACGTCCCGACGATGACGATTGGCCTGGGTACGCATCTGCTGCTGCATCTTTGCTAACTGTTGTTTGAGGTCGGCTAAGAGGTCTGCCCGATCGCGCAATAATTTTACAATATGTGGATCTTTGGAGCAGATCAAGAGAGTAGGGAACAACGATGGTGGGGGGCGGCTGTAAAGAGCCTGAAATGGAGATACCCCAAACCAGCGTGGTGACTACAATTGAGAGCCAACTCCGCCCATGGGAGGAAAACCACCCACTTGCTTGGCCGCTCGAACGTGAATGCCCGGAGGTATTGCTCAAGGTTGCGATTGAATGCTTCAGTGTGACCATCGGATTGTGGGTGATAACCCGTTGAAAAATTTAGAGAAGTGCCACTTAAGCGCATAAGCTCCCGCCAAAAAAGACTCATGAACACGGCGTCCCGTTCATAGATGAGCGTTAGGGGAAAGCCGTGATGTTTCACCACTATGTCCACAAACAATTGGGTAGCCCGTGGCACATCAAAACTGGAGGGCAAATTGCCGAAGTGCGTGCATTTGCTTAGGCGATCCACAGCCACCATGATGACCGAAAAG